ATGCTTGCTTTGTGGGAATAAGCCTAATATTATTTTAGCTTATGGTTTCACTCTATACTACTGACAAGACTCTCCCAAAGGCAAATGAAAATAAACAGAAAAGCCAGAGGAATTGGTATGAGAACAGGAAAATTTTAGGATAGAAGTTATGCGAGAGGGAGCACATGTAGTGATTTCCAAAGTTTAAGTCTAGACTGTTTATTTCATCTTTAACCTATATCTTGAATCACCTATATCTTGAATTGTCACAGAAGTAAGAAACTCATCAACATTTACTGACAATCTTGTACTTCCCTAAGTTGTAAACATGAATTTGTATTTCTGTCACGTGTCATTGGTGATTCACAAACTTCTTTTTTAGTCTAGGGACACTTTCTTCACGGAATACTTACCTGCAAGCAAATATGCAGACATTGGACAACTGCTAGAGCCCTACTTGCTCCAGATCCTTCCCCAACAGCCCAGTTTTCCATTCATTCTTGCATTCGCTCAACAAATATTTACTATTGAGCACCTACCATGTGCCATACATGAGGATGCAGCATGAAATAAGACAGATAAGACCCCTGCCCAGATGAAGCTTCCAGCCTAAAACACAGTTTAAAAAATAACTACTTTAAAAGATTGGTCCTAGGCAAAATTTTGGAAGGAAATCCTTTCTCTGTGCTCCTATTCATCTCATGTCTCATCCGAACCCCAGATGACCAATAACTCTTCTAACAATAATAGAAATATCTCTGACAAAAAAGAGAAAGTACATTGGTATTTCTTAAAGTCATACTTATTCCTTAGAAAACAAGTCAATAATTACATGGAGATCTGTTTTTAAGTAAAAATTTAAAGCTTACAAGCCTTCTACAATAAAGGACATATTAAAAGTTACCCTATATCTGGATCACCATTTGCTGTTATTATAAATTAAAGTTTAGCAAAAACAATCCTGTAACTAGCTACTTTAAAAACATAAAGTTTAATATGAATAGTTTCAAACTATGGCAAAACAGACATATAATGTGTAATATCCACATTAAAACTCAAAAGATGTTCATTTTTAAGACCTACTTAGGTAAGACAGTAAAATAGGAATACATAGTGTCAGAACCCCCAAAAATTAATTCCTTTTTATTCTTATGGGTGTCTCAAAAGTAAAGTGTTTTCTGAAACTTTTCCCAAGGTTTCAATAGACACTGAAGTGAGCAAAAGAGCACTAGAACTAAGGTATGCCTAGGCTCAAATCTCAGTTCTGTCCATTACTAGCATTGTGTTGCTATTAGACAAGATTTAAAACTTTCTACCTCAGTTTCCTCATCTGTAAAATGAGATTAATAGCAATACCTTACCACATAGAGTTGATACAAGGATTAAATGAGTTAGTAAATTCATGTAAAATATTTACAATGGTGTCTAAAAAATAATCAACAAACACTACATTCCCAGTGTAGTAGCTGATTTAGCATCGATGAATACAACAATGTATTATATAACCATTTTCTTCTTATGAATTTACTAATGCTTGATACAACAACAATTTGAGCAAACAAGCAAAAATGTTAAAATAATCTCTAGAGGTGGAGTATATAACAATTTTGACCATAACAATCTAGGTATGTAAAATTCAAACAAGGAATTCAAAAAACAACCATCACTACTAAATACTGAGTGAGCTTAAACTACACAGTTTCAAACCATTCCTTTCTGGTGGCCACTGAACACCTACCTAATGTAAGAAAAAATGGAAAATATGACATTATTGTTATATATGTAAGAAGAATGCAGTGTCTTCTTTCCTTTTCATTATTTGCTGTTATAAACCTAGGACCATCTGGTATTTATGAAACAACTCCATAGGCCATCCATTTCCATATCTTGTCTATTATCTCATAGTTGAGATAATGTGAAAGTAAACAAATGCTGCCACCTTGTGGACTGATGGATATGATAATAACCCCAACCAGAGGAGGAAGAATACAAGTTTCTGATGCAACTTTTTCTCTTAGTAAGATTCTCACTGCAATAAGTGACCTAAGAATGTTAACTCTGTTGTTGTGAGAAAAGTAATTAAAGAAATTTTGAAAAGAATAAAAATATAAGTAACCAACATTAAACATATTTCATGCAATTTTCCAGTAAGAATTATTTATTCTACAATGTAATGAAGTAATGCACCAAATTCAACATTATGTTTTCTCTAATATTTCTTTATCCTTCTTCTTAAAAGAAATTCATTAAATTTCCTTTTTTGAGAGGAATTAAAAGCCTTTAAAACAAATTTATTATCAATGGTATGTCTGAATATGAGACACTTAGGAAAAGCAAAAAAAGCACCAGGACCGTGAAAGTTTTGAAGCAATCTCATTTCTCTGGCTATATCATTCTTTCTTGTTAGTCTTCATCTGTCCTGCCTAACACTTTCAACATCGGAAATTTTCCTTTCAAAATGTTAATTCAATGTAATTAAGATAAAAGAATGGATGTTAGCATGCAAAATAGACCCACTAAAGATACCTTTTAAATTTATTTTATAATAATTAAAATATTTTAACGTAATCTCATTTTTTCCAAACTAAGATCTTGTTTAGGTCTTCCTAAAAGAGCAAACTTCTGCTTCAGAATGTACAAAGTTTTGATATAAATGTCTTGGTATGATCAAGATTTATCAGCATTTTTTAAAATCCAGGATATTAAATCAAGCTAAAAAAAAAAAAAAAAGGGCAGAGAAACCACCACCTCCTCTCCAAATCAACTAAAATGGCTTTCAAGAATGATGGGGAAAAAATGACTCATTCTTTTTTGAAAGAGGCTGATAATCAATCCCACACCTTTTATGTAGAGATGCTGCTTTTGTAATACTATGTTAAAAAGGAAAGTTTTTATTTCATTTTTTATTTCTTCAATGAAGAAGAAAATGCAAAATGGGATGAATTCACAATGGTCAGGGCCATTAATCAATATTACAAGAGAGCTTTCATATGCATTACATTTTAGCTTGGGTATAGTTATTACATAATTACAGACTAGTATATACATATCAGGTCAATATTATAAACGAACTTTGATAGTTATTTTTGCCATTTTACATCCAAACTGAAGCCCTTAAAACACATATTATATATTCTTAAAGTAGTTAAGAAAGTAAATAATAATGTCAACCTGTTTCTTCAAGCTAAATTGTTTCATAAACTATTCTTATATTTCTTATCATATAAAGGCACTAAAACGAGATTGTGAGTTCTCCTGAATCCAAGTATCACATTTGGCCTGTTCACATTATGCGCTTAGCCTAGCCCACATTAGGCTGTCAATGACTTTTTGTTAAATGAATTATGTAATTAAATGAACCTCCAAACCCGTTGCATTTTTAAAATTTACTTGGTCTGGTGCATAAGAAAAACTCACATTGCCAACATATAGAAAAATAATGTATGATTTTTGTCTTATTCAGTACTGAGTTAAATAAACGCTAGAGTATAATAAAAGGTTTCTTGCAATAGTCTCTATAGCAAATGACTTAAATTTCAAACTCAATCTCCATGTATATAAATTCTTAATCCTGCAAATGAAGAGCAAGCAAAGTTTTAGTAATATTTGACAAGTTAAAACTTGCCAAATTCCTGATTCAAGAACATCTTATTAAGGTTTATTCATTCTAGGAAATTTCAACATGAACTGGTAATTTGATGATACCAAGGATTACTGCTAATTGTCTTAGATGTGATAAAGCCTTGTGGTTTTACAATGTCCATTTTAAGAGATGAGATTCTTAAGTTTGTGGGGGTAAAATGACACAGTATCTGGAATTTGCTTTAAAATATGTAAGCAAAAAAATAAAATAAGAATGAAAAGGATAAATGAAGTATATCAAAATCTTAATCACTGCTGAATCTGGGTGATAGTCATGTGAGGAATTGTTAGTCCATTCTATTTCTGTGTATATTAGATATTTTCATTAAACATTTTAAAAGAATGATCATCCAGCTAATGGCAAAATAAAAATGTATGTGATAAATATATGTAATTTCATCTGTCAATTAAAAAAACAAAAAATTTTAATAAAAGAATAGCTAAAAAAATTTTGAACTGAATGAAAACGGAAAAATATCACATCAGAATTTGTGTGATGCAGCTAATGCAGGCTTAGAGGGAAATTTATAGCACAAAAATAGCTTTATTAGAAAAAAGGAAGATGTCAACTAAATGACCTCACTTTAAAAAATTAGCAAATAAGAGCAAATGAAACCCAAAAAAAGCAGAAGAAAGGAAATAATAAAGAGCAAAAATCAATGGATCAGAAAAACACAGAATTTCAATAAAACCAAGAGCTGGCTCTTTGAAAAGATCAATAAAAATGATAAACTTCTAAGCCAGACTATTTAGGAAAAAAGTAAAGGGGAGAAAAAAATATCAGGGATGAAACAGGGACCATCACTATAGAATCTAAAGATATTAAAAGAATAATAAGGCAATATTATGAACAACTGCATGCCAATAAATTCAATAATCCAGATGACAATGGACAAATTTCTTAAAAGACACCAACTAATAATGCTAAATCACAAAGAAATGGCTAACTTGAATAACCCTAAAATCTCTTATGGAAATTGAATTTCTAGTTAAAAATCTTCTGGAGAAGCTTCACTGGAGAATTCTAAAAAATATTTAAGGAAGAAATAATACCAATTCTACACAAATTCTTCTAGAAAACTGCAAAGGAGGGAGCACTTATTAGGAGAGCATACCCTGCCATCAAACCAGACAAAGATATAACAGGAAAACAAACTAAAACCCTACGAGATGGATACTATTAATCATTCCATTTTAGAGATGAAGAAATTCAGGATATAGAAATTCAAAAACTTGCCCAAGATCACATAACTAATAGTTGGCAGGAAACCTAACTTCCAAATCCAGCTTTTAACACTAATGCTATAACAGCTTCTCAATTTCATTAGATTCTAGATATTTTTACCAAAAAAATAGTAAGAAGTATGCCCAATACTTACCTGGAGACTATGCTGGAACCATTATAGAGATCACTAGCATACGACAATGTGGCCAAAGGTCGTACTGAATTATACCGAGTAAACTTAGACAAGCATTCCTGAAATTCGTCCAACTGGCTTGCAGTTCGACTGTCATCTATTTGAAGAAAACAAAACAAAATTAAAGAATTGCACTATATAAAGTAAGTCAAAGAGCAATGTCCATAGATTAAAAATTATATTTGAAATATTTAAAAAATTTGAAGAGTTTAGAGAACATTACTATGCACAAATTAATTAGCTGATCTTTCAGCTTTAATTAAAAACATCTTAGTGGTTCTTTAAAAGACAATGTCTCATTCCACTGTGAATTCTCTTAATTTTTTTTTTTAGCAATAATTACTTGGAAAAACAATAAAAGAGCTACTGGCCAAGAGAAAAGTCATTTATTAAAAGAAAAATCCGCCCCCCCTCCCCAAAAAAAAAATCCCTTATCAATGGAGAAAATGAGGGTGGAAAGAGGAGTATATACACTGGATGGGTAATTTGTTAGTTTGAATGAACATGTTTACAGGGAGACATATTTATGCCCATGTTTATTTACAGATTATAACAACACATTTTAGATAAGAAATCAAAAATATTGTTTTTAAATAAATATTTGTTCACACAATACTGTGAAGCATTTCAAATCCTATTACAGGAAGGGTGTAGAAAACCGCAATATATGAACTATTAATTCTCAAAAAAGAAATCTACAGAAATGGCTCACATTTATCCCAAGAGTACCTCCCATGAAGAAAAAATAAATTCTCCTCATATGTCTTGCTGGAATATGGGAAACAGTAATTCCATCCATTAGAACACTATACAAATACCTTGGGTAAAATCCACTTCAATGAACCATTCAAAGCTAAATCATATGGGATTTAAATCATAAAATCAATTTATGAAGTACCTGAGAATACAGTTAATCTAGTCTCCAAACTAGAAGCTGGCATATAGTAAAAGGAAAAATAAAAAAAAAAATTCATTGTTTTTCAAAACTGCTTACAGTTTGGGCTTATGTTTTCCTTTTCAAAGGATGAAAAGAACAACGTGTACCTTAGCTTCCTAGACTGAAATTGAGAAAAGTCTGTCTTTTCATAGCTTCTTCTTTATTGTAAGGTCATATACATACATAACTTTTTCAAGGTAAACTTCCATGATTTCCCTTCTTAAATGTCATCTAAAAGTTATAGGCATAATGAAATTAAGATGCAAGAATCATACTTCAATAGAGTTGTATGATTATATAATACATAGTAAAGAATTTATTTATTTTATTTGGAGATACTAGGTTATCTTGAAGATAACTGTTTGCATGAAGAAATTCATCTAACAATTATTACAAAGAAAAACAAATAACAATTACTTGAGGAAACCAAGTAAGATTTTTGTCCCTGATATTTCACAAATTTTAAAGACTTAAAACACTAAGCAAATCCATCTAACAACGTAGATTAAAACGGTCCAACTTACTAGTGCTTCCATTCTAAAAACAGCAAAAAAATAACTAGCATGCAATATCATAATAGCATTGAGATAAAGGTCCTGCTCCACAAAATTATTCTCAGGAAATTTAACATATTAAATAAAACATGGTCTCTTGGGGGAAAAAAAGTCATCAACTGTACTGCAGAATGGTTTGGATGAAATAGCTAATTTTTTTTAACATGTAATCCTATTACTGTAAGTTATTTAACATAATAAATACTGGGAAGACAACTGCTTTATTCATTTAACACATTGACTGCCACACCAGAAAAAAAAAATTTTTCCTTGGGCCATGGTGTTTTATTACAAAAATAGAATAAAAACTTTCAAAGCAAAACGATTCTTTCTGATCTAATGAAAAATCTGTTATTTTTTATTGTTTTCTGTGCGTGGCTCACATGCAACTTGAAAAACAGTTCTCGTGAAAAATAGCTCTTCACCTTCTCCCAAGATGAAGAGACGTGTGAATTACATATGCTCTACAAGGCCCCTGGCTCAAAACTAGTGTGAGTTGAATACAACTCACATGGCAGTTAATGTATTAAACGTTGTTTTAATGTCATTCTATTCTTTCACATTTTGACATCAATTCCTCAGTATATAAATTCACAAGTACTCAAGAATGTGTATTCTTGTGAAGGCCATAACCCTTTTCCAGGCTAACTGGACTTCTGCTTTTCATACAAGCTTATTAATATCTACTTTAAACAGAAACTATAAAGAAAACAATAAAATTAGTCATTTTAATATGTGAGAGTACAGCAACTGGTTTTCATACATCTGGCTATGATAAGGCAGGATTTTGTTTGCTTCATGTTTTATAATCACCATCCATACATATTTGCTGGTGTAACACCCTCTCCTATTCTAATTATAGATTGGTTTGTAAAAGTGTGTTCGCTCTTTTCTTTCTCCTAAAGCTTTATAATTTACTTCCTCTTTCAGTAACAACTATGAATCCAAGATACTAATTTCTTAATACTCATCTTTTATTTTCAAAGTTGTAAATAAATGCTGTGGAGAGGAACGGATTCGTGGATTCTCATGTCAAAATAAACAAAGGACAACTAACCTCTTAGGTAACCCATTATTGAGAACTTAATATTTCCCCTTTTATAGTCAAAGGCACTAGGAGGAACTTCAAATTCGGCAATATGATTATGGTAGCAAATGTGCAAATTAGACAAGATTAACTTGAGATTCCTAAAAACTAGAGATATGTTTTAAGTACAATGCAGCCATGGCCACACAAATAAAAACCTATCTAAGCCAGGCACAGAGGTTCATGCTTGTAATCCCTAGTGACTTGGGAGGCTGAGGCAGGAGATCACTTGAGGCCACGAGCTGGAGACCAGTCTGGGCAACACAGTGAGACCCTATCTCTAAAAAAAATTTTTAAAAATTAGTCAGGTGTGGAGGCACATACCTCTAGTCTCAGCTACTTGGGAGGCTGAAGTGGGAGGATTGCTCGAGCCCAGGAGTTCAAGGTGCAGTGAGCTGCTATCACGTCACTGCACTCCAGCATGGGCAACAGAGCGAGACCTCATCCCTCAAATCAAAAATCTATGTGGTTTTCCTCCTGGTTTTATCTTATTATTCAACTGTCCAGTAAAGTTATCCTCCCCCAAAATAAATTAAGTTGGCTTTTGATTACTTTGACTATTGCCTAGCCTGCCTATACTGCTGGTGACTAAAAAATTATTAATAATGATAGCCTACTTCAATCTCTTTCCCATCTTTTTATTTGTATTAAATGTCTGCCACTTGTCTATAGTTATATTTCAACATCATACCAACAAATAGCATATGAATGGGTTAACATGAACTCTGCTAGTCAGAATGTAGGTCTCAGGCCACTTTCAATTTAACAACTTCCTATTGTAGTTTATATTGATAGATTACAACACAGGCTCAAAAAGGGCTCAATTCCTAGGCAATAACTGAAAGCTTTCCATCTGTAAAAACTGTTTATCATTAATTTCAAACACACAAATTGTGGCTTCCTCTTTGGTCTTCCTAGGAAAAATGCTATGTAAATCTAATACATATTTTCCTCCACCACCAATCCCGAGGCAAATTTGTCTGAATGATCTAAGCAATATATAGATTATAATATAAACATGTTTATTCCAGAGAAAACCAAAGCCTACTTTTAACAGCCAATAAAATGTCAGACATTTTTTCCTCGGTGGTCTTCTTTTTGAGCAGGTGACTAATGACATTAACTGAGCACCTAAGACGTACCAAACATTCTGTTTTCTATATATAACCTATAACCCTTAAAAACCCATTAGGGTTGGTATCAATGTCCCTACTTCATTGATGAGCAAAGACACTGAGAAAGGCTGAAGAAGAGAGAGCTAACAAAAAGAGGCAAAACTATTATTACTTCTCCACAGCAATAAGAATATCTTATGCTATTACATTCATGTTATTTTTTCTACTTTGAACATGTTTCTAATTACCTTTCTCAGTTAATTCACATTAGCTTTATCCAAATACTATTCCTCTGAAATTCCTATACTGATCATTCCCTTACATCTCCCCATTTTCAACTTGGCTTTTTCACTCCCAGCTGTATTAGCGGATATTCTTCTCTATTCTCATAATACCCTTGCATATTCATATAACACATAATATCACAAAGAATTGCTTACCTGTTGTTTTCCCCCACTAGATTTACAACACTCCTTGACAATAAGAGTCATTCTTTCATATTTTTATTCTTAGCACAGAACTTAATTAATGTTCAATAAGAGGCAACTAAATGGAACTTATTTTTTGCTAACTACAGATTCGTGGCTTATTTTCTTTAACTTTATATAGCTTGCTAGATAAATTCCCAAATAAACTTATGGTTAGATAGAAGAAATAAGTTCTAATGTTTGATAGCAGACTGGGATGACTATAGTTAGGATGACGATATATTATACATTTCAAAGTACCCAGAAAAGAGAACTTAAAATGTTACCAACACATGGAAATAAGCACTCAAGGTGATGGACACCCTAAATACCCTGACTTGATCATTACACATTCTATACATATAAAAAGCACTCACATGTACCCCATAAATATGTAAAATATTATCAATAAAAAATTTTCTTTTTCTTGTAAAAAAAAAAAAAAATTCCCAAATGGAAAAGAGAACAAAAACAGCCATTGGAAAACAATATTCCCCAAGAGTGCAAAGAATAAGGCTCTGCTAGACTAAATTAAAAATATATACTTTTGCCCTGCAACTAGAAATTCCCATAAATCCAGCATAAAAACCTAGAAACAGATATGAAATATGAACTTGAGATATTTTAAGAGAAGGGTTGAACATGTACCTGAGATACGAGACATCCTTGTAGAAAAGTAACATTGCTCTAAGTCTTCAAAATGAGCAGTGAGTCGTTTTCGTCTTGATGCCAATGTGCTGTTATACCAAGGCTGTTTCTTTGTCTAAGGTGATAGTAAGAAAAGACACTTACAAGGTAGAATAAACAATACTATTCTTCTCAACAGAATGAATACTCAAATGCTTGCATATTTAGTTTCAAAAGTTCATCACAATAAAATGAAAAGGGAGAAAAACTATAGTTCTGAGATCATATTTTTCAACTTTTATTTTAAAGTAAAAATAGAAACCAAACCCATTCACAGAATGATTAAAAGTAAAAAATGATATAAAAAATAAGCTCTAAAGGCCAGTTTTACAAGACTAAAATGAATAACATCTTCAATTCTTCAAATTAAATGAAGATAGAATCCATTGTAAGGGCCATTCTAAAATTTAGAATTTGGGGAATCTTAATATCCAGAAATTGTTAGGAAACAATTATCAAATAGAAAACTAATTATTTTTTCATCATTCCGATATTGTAGCCTTATATCCCCTGAATTACAGAAATAGTTCTTGACTCTAGGGAATATCTATTTAAGTTAACATTGATTCGATTAAGAGGCAGTAATGTATATGTGTGCTAAAGAGTCTGACATATTCATTAGAAGAACAAAATAACAAAATCATATAGATACAAAGGCAACAAATTTGAAATACGTTAGCATACAAATCCTATAAAAACAAAAATCTGTGATCCTAATATATATTACTTACATGTTTACAACTGAAAGGATAAGACAATTCTTAAACAAATGGTTATTATCTATTATGCATGAAGCACATCAACCGATAAAAAGGTAAGATACATAATGAGATTTTTTTTAATTTTATTTCAAGATATTATGAGGGTACAAACACTTTGGTCACATTTTATGTCTTTGCTTCACCCTAGTGAAGATTAGAGGGATGCCCTTCCCTTCTACAATGCTTACCGCGTCCATTAGTTGTGAGTTTACCCCACCCTCAAACCCCCTAATCCCTGGAAAATATTACTGCCATGTGAGCACCATAGTGTTGATCAGTCAGTGCCAATTTGATGGCGAGTACATGTGGACCCTATTCTTCCGATCTTGTGACACCTCACTTTGGATAATGGGTTCAAGCTCTAGCCAGGAAAATATAAGAGGTTTTAGATCACTGTCGTTTCTTATTACTGAGTAGTATTCCATTGCATATGTAAACCAAATTTTAATAATCCACTCATGAATTGATGGGCACTTGGGTTGTTTCCAGATCCTTGAATAAATTGTGCTGCCATAAACATTCAGGTGCAGATGTCTTTATTATAGAATGTCTTTTGCTCTTTTGGGTAGATGCCTAATAGTGCCATTGCTGGATTGAATGGTATTTCTATTTTTAGCTCTCTGAGGTATCTCCAGATTCTTTTCCACAGAGGTTGCACTAATTTGCAGTCCCACCAACAGTGTAAGAGTGTTCCTGTCTCTCCACATCCTCACCAGCATTTGTTCTTTTGAGATTTTTTGATAGAGGCCAATCTCCCTGGGGCTAGGTGATACCTCATTGGAGTTTTGATTTGCATTTCTCTAATGATTAGATATTATGAGCACTTTTTTATATGTTTGCTGGCCATTATTCTGTCTTCTTTTGAAAAGTTTCTGTGCATTTCCTTTGCCCATTTATTGATGGGGTTCTTTGATTTTTTCTTGTTGACTTTTTTAAGTTCTAGATAGATTCTTGTTATCAGCTCTTTATTTTCTCCCATTCTGTGGGCTGTCTATTCGCTCTGGTGATAGTTTCCTTGGCTGTGCAAAAGCTTTTTAATATGATCAGATCCCATTTATTTTTGTTGCTGCTGTGATTGCTTTGGGGGTCTTCTTCAAAAATTCTCTGCCTAGGCCAATGTTTGAAACGGTCCACCCAACATCTTCTTCTAGAATTCTTAAGATTTCATCCCTTAGGTTTAAGTCTGTTATCCGTCTCGAACTGATTTTTGTGAGAGGTGAGGATCCAGTTTCAATCTTCTGCATGTAGCTATCCTGTTTTCCCAGCACCATTTATTGAAAAGAGATTCTTTTCCCCAGTGTATATTTTTGTCTGTTTGTCAAAGATTAGATTACCATATGCGGATGGTTTCATCTCTGGATTCTCAGTCCTGCTCCAAAGGTCTATGTCTCTGTTCTTGTGCCAGTACCATGCTGTTTTAATTACTATAGCCTTGTAGTACAGCTTGAAGTCTGGTAGACTGATACCTCCCAGTTTGTTCTTTTTACTTAAGATTGCTTTGGCTATACGAGGTCTTCTCTGGGTCCATACAAAGTGTAGATTTATTTTTTCTAGATCTGTAAAGAATGATGATGGTACTTTGATAGGGACTGCATTAATTCTGTAGATCACTTTAGGTAGTATGGGCATTTTAATGACATTTATTCTACCAATCCATGAGCAAGGTAGATTTTTCCATCTGTTTACATCTACAATTTCTTTTCTTAGTGTTTCATAGTTCTCCCTGTATATGTCTCTCACATCTTTCGTTAAATATATTCCTAGATATTTAATTTTCTTTGAGGCTACTGTAAAAGGTATCGCATTTTTGATTTAAATTTCGGCTTGACTGTTATTGGCGTATAAGAATGTCTCTGATTTGTGTGTATTCATTTTGTATCCTGAGACTTTACTGAAATCATTTATCAATTCCAGGAGTCTCTTGGTTGAATCCTTGAGGTTTTCTGGATATAGTATCATATCATCGGCAAAGAGAGAGAGTTTGATCTCATCTGTCCCCATTTGGATGCCCTTAATTCCCCTCTCTTGTCTAATTGCTCTGGCAAGGATTTCCAGCACTATGTTGAATAGAAGTAGAGATAGTGAGCAACCTTGTCTGGTTCCGGTTATAAGTGAGAATGGTTTCAATTTTTCCCCATTCAGTATGATATTAGCCATGGGTTTATCATAAATGGACTCGATAATTTTAAGGCATGACCTGTCTATGCCTATTTTGTTAAGAGTTTTTATCATAAAGGTGTGCTGGACTTTGTCAAATGCGTTTTCTGCATCTATTGAGAAAATCATACGGTCTTTGTTCTTGCTTTTATTCATGTGGTGAATTGCATTTATAGATTTGCATATGTTGAACCAGCCTTGCATCCCTGGAATAAAGCCCACCTGGTCATGGTGAATTATTTTTTTGATATGCTGCTGAATTTGATTTGCTAAAATTTTGTTGAGGAAAAGAAAGTAGGGATAGCCATACTATTTTCAGATAACATAAGCTTTAAAATAGCGAAAGTAAAAAAGGACAAAGATGGCCACTATATAATGGTAAAAGGGAAGATCCAACAAGAAGAATTAACAATTCTTAATATTTATGCACCCAACTCAGGAGCATCCAGTTACATAAAGCAAACCTTGTGTGATCTAAGTAACATGATAAATAATGCCAGAGTAGCAGGGGACTTCAACACCCCACTGAATGAACTAGACAGATCTTTGAAACAGAAAATAAGCAAAGAAATAATGGACTTAAACAGAGCTCTAGAACAAAAGGGTCTGACAGACCTCTACAGAACATTCCACCCAGATAAAGCTGAATATACATTCTTCTCAGCCACCCAAGGAACTTTCTCCAAAATTGATCACATACTAGGCCACAAATCAGACCTCAACAAATTCAAAAAAATAGAAATTATACTGTGTATCTTCTCTGATCATAGTGGTGTAAAATTAGAGTTCAATTCCAACAGAAATACTCACCACCACACAAAGTCGTGGAAATTAAACAATTTATTGTTAAATAACTATTGGGTCAAGGAAGAAATACAGAGGGAAATCAAGCGTTTCTTCGAACTAAATGATAACGGAGACACTAGTTATCAAAACCTGTGGGATACAGCAAAGGCATTCATGAGAAGAAAACTAACAGCATTAAACGCTCACATCCAAAAAACAGAAAGCTCAAAAATCGACAATTTAATAAACAGTCTCGAGGAATTGGAAAAGGAAGAGCAAATCAATTCCAAACCTAGTAGAAGAAAAGAAATAACTAAGATCAAAGCAGAACTAAGCGAAATTGAGAACAAGAGAACTATACGGAAGATCAACAAAACCAAAAGCTGGTTTTTCGAAAAGATAAACAAAATTGACACCCCTCTTGCAAGACTGACAAGAATTCTAAGGGAAAGGACTCTAATAAACTCAATTAGAAATGAAAAAGGAGAGGTCACAACAGACACTGTGGAAACATAAAACATTATTTTCGATTACTATAAAAACCTATATGCCCAAAAACTACATAATGAGGAGAAAATGGACAAATTCCTGGAAACATACAACCTCCTGAAGTTCACCCAGGAAGTAATAGAATTTATTTCTGAATAGACCAATCTAAAGCTCAGAAATTGGAGCAGCAATTAAAAACCTCCCAAAACGGAAAAGTCCCAGACCAGATGGCTACACTTCAGAGTTTTACCAAACATACAAAGAGGAACTCATACCTATACTACAGAAATTATTCCACAACATTGAGAAAGATGGTATCCTTCCTAACTCATTCTACGAAGCCAATATCACACCTTGATACCAAAGCTAGGAAAGGATACAAAAAAAAAAGAAAACTACAGACCAATATCCCTCAGGAATATAGATGCGTAATGAGATCTTGAGATGACACAGAGTTAACCAATAACTATACCACAATGTCAAAAGCACAAAGTACTAAGGCACTACAGTGCACGCTCTATAGTGCATCCCTGCTTTAATAAAACTAGATGGGAGAAGAGAATCATATTTTAAAGCCTTGCTTCATTCACAAGAAAGTATGATAATTTCCAAAGACATAACAAACAAACAGGAAGCTGAACTCAGTGGGTGATAGTAAACAAAACAGAACAGCAGCACAGGAGAGAGAGGAAAGGAAGAGGAAAATACTTTATTTGGGGACAAATATCTACAAAAGAACAAATGGCTTGAACCAGGATTTGGAGAATTTAGCCTGAGGACCATCACAAGTAGAGAAATGAAAACAGAATTTATAAACTGGAAGAGATATCTGAAGGAATTATTTAGAATGAAGGAAAAAAGTCAAGAAGATAGAAAATTTGAA